GGTTTATTGTGTATGGAACAATAAACCCCACTCTGGTCAGTGGTGAGGTTTCACTTTGGCTAGGAACCGCCAACCACAACCACCACGAGTACTCCCCGAAGGGCCGCACCCAAGCAGTCAGGACTCACAAATTGATCAACGATATGCGTTCAAAAAGGGAAAAATTGCGCTCGCTTCCGCCATATAGCTTCCACGGCGCCGTTGATCAATTACCACCATTACCCGCAGGCATCCGTGACATATGTTCAAAAGTAAATAGGCAAAAGGGGAAAAAGCCTTTCCGTCAAATCCCTTTTTTAATTTTTGCATCTATTAATTCTCAAGAGAGTTTTTTAATTAATGGGCCAAAGGGAAGGCCATCCGTCAATTTCTTTTTGTATAATTAACTCCCTCTTGAGAGTATTTTAATTCCAACGACTTTATGAACAAAGTCCATCATACACCCGCAGGCATACGTGGCTTTGTGAGGCGAGCCTCCTGACCACCGTGGCTCCCAGTTTGTTTTGCCTTTGGCATACTTTGGGCGGATGTTAAAAACAACCGTACTTGCTTCGGATTCACCATACTTCCTTGGTAGCCAACACCATGAACTACTTTTCTTCGAGATATATAGGTTTCGGGTATTGCACTGACATGGCAGGGGCGATCTACCATGCACTCGCTAGATTACTACCTTCCATCTTACTTAAACCCATTCAGTTCCTAGGTAGTAACCAGCTATTGAGTGAAGAGCTCATCTTCCAGCCAACGCCTCCACCATCTCTCAGAAACTCGTCGCCGAGTTAGTAGCCCAAAACCTTAAACTCTTCTTAGCCGGCCGAAGCCGTTGCCCGGGGATCACCACTGGGAGGTGAGAGTTTCGGCACATCTATGCTCCCCATTAAAGCATAGTTTATAGAATAGGAATAGATTAAGATAGAATAAGAATAGAATAGGCCAGATAAGCGTAGGTTAAGAATAGATTAAGGTAGTTGGAATTCAGTCGCCGAATAAGAGAAAATTTTCGAGTTACAGTAGTCGGAATAAGATTTAGATTAAAATACTAAAAAATACAAATTTCTTGTGCGTTTCCATTACCCCGGGCCGCTGAGTTGCCCCAACGTTTGGGAAAGAGACGGAAACGTCCTTACAAGTGGCGCCCGAGCAGGGACCTTTATTTTTTTTCAAAAAACGGGAGTGAAGTGAACCAATAAAAAAAAAAAATACAAAAAAAAAAAAAGACATATAATATTTATTTATTTTATTTTCCACTTATACTAGAAAATCAACTAAACAAATAACAGTCGAGTTCAATTGGCTCTTAATGCAAAACTTATATTAATTAACAATAAAATTGAGTATAAGCATAATAAAACAAATAAGAAGAAAAAAAAAGAAAAAGAAAAAAAATTTGTATACTATCAGCATAGGAGCACACTTACAAGCGGTACAGGACCAAATTGCAAATGAACCTCTAAGCCATCGCAAACATGCATAAGCCTGGCAACCGATAATAAATTGACAATAATTCACTTTCGAAACGTAACGACTTTTTAAGGATAAAAGCTAGTTTAAATACGACATAGGTAAATCGCTCGTATTAAGCAATGTTGCTTTAATGGGCTTTAAAGACTCCGATAACGAGAATAAGTGGGAGACGTCATTTAGGTTCTTGCAAACGACTCTGGGCGGATTGAACAGCTCATAATTAAATTTACACTGATTAAACTTAACCAAGATAAAGTGCCTAGAGAAGCGGTTAGGGACATTAAAGCTTATTTCACCAAGTAATGAAGGCGAGTCAATAGCACCATTTATTACTTTAATTAGAAACGAAACGTCAAGAACAAATCTACATTTCTCAAGAGACGGTAGGGACAGCAGAGGCAACCTATTTTCATACAGAGGAAGAGAGGCAATCGGATCCCAACCCAAATTTCTATGGGCAAACAGTAAGAATTCTTTTTGAACAGATTCAATTGAATCTACGTAGCACCTATATGAAGGAGACCACACAACTGAGGCATACTCGAGTATGGGTCTAACCAAACACATGTACAGCCTTTTCGTAATGTAGGGATCATCAAGCTCTTTGGACCACCTTTTTATAAAACCAAGCGCGGACCTAGCTTTGCTAATCGAGAGCTCAATATGGAAGTTAAAACGTAACCTATGATCAAATAGAACGCCTAAATCTGTAATCGAATCGACGTCCTCCAACTTATGCGAATCTATGAAATACTGAGTAATGAATGACTTTCTTCTTGAGAAAGAAAGCTTCTTACATTTACTCAGATTTAGTTTCAGAAGATTCAAAGAGCACCATGCAACAAAATTATCCAAATCACCTTGAAGCTGATGTGATTGCGATTTAACAGAGAAGGAAGAAAACAGTTTCACATCATCAGCATACATTAAGATCTGGCTGGAATTAACCACCGATGGGAGATCGTTAATGTATAAACTAAATAAAATGGGACCTAAGTGACTTCCTTGAGGTACGCCAGACGTAACGGTGAATTCATCCGAGCTAATTGAGTTAAACAAAACTCTGAAGGATCTATTGTGCAGATAAGAGCTTATCCATTTCACTAAGTAGGGTGGGAAACCAGAGGCTTGGAGTTTAAAGATAAGTAGTCTATGGTTAACCATATCAAATGCTTTGCTTAAATCAGTGTAAATAACATCTGTGCGAGAGCCACTAGAAAAAGTCTTGAAAACATGACAAGTAAACTCTAACAAGTTGGTGACTGTAGATCGCCCTTTCCGAAAGCCGTGCTGGTGCGGAGAAATATACGAATTAATGGCAAAGGCCATATGCTAAGTAACAATACGCTCGAACAACTTGGGCAAGACACTCAACTTGGCTATGCCTCTGTAGTTCTCAACAAATTCTCTACTTCCACTCTTGTGGATAGGAGTAAGGAAACTACTCTTCCAACATGAAGGGAAAACACCTGAATACAAGGACATGTTAAAAATCTTTGAGATCACACCACACAACTCGACAGCGCAAGATTTAAGTACACATGATGGAATTCCATCAGGTCCAGGCGAACAACTGTATTTTAGAGACCTCGACCCTTTAAAAGAAGGTTCGATACCACCATTAAATAAAGACAAAGTTTTCATGTTTGAAACATACAAAAGAGGAAAAACAGCATTGGACAAAAAAAAGAAAAGGTTGAGAAACAAAAAAAAAAGGAAAAAACAAGTATGGAACATTAAAAAAAAAAAATTTACGTGAAATAAATAAATAAATAAACAGAAAATATTTCAAAAAAAGACAAAGAGTTCTTAAGATAATGGAATTTTCTCAAAAACCAACGCATAATGCAAATAATTGAATAGTTACAAGTGAAAAGAAATAAATAAAACCACTGCAAAATCTACGAAATAAACATTGCTTTTCAAGCATTAGAAGAGTAAAGTCTCTAAATACTAGTGACTATACGTTAAAAAAAAGAGAAAAGGGATAAACGCACAACAAGCAACTCATGTAAATAACAGATGAAATGCACTTTGCATAAAGTGCATGCAAAGGCACACGCACAACATCGGTGAGAACAAGCATAGAAGTTGAAAGATACCTAAAATTGAACACGCAACAACAAAGATAGGCATTTGCGATCAACTAAGAGCCTGTGCTAAATAAAGTGCCGAAAGGTCTTCGCCTAAAATCCGCTATACGGCGAAAAAAGACCAAAGAAAGGCGAATTGATCGTGGTTGGCAAAATGACCAGAGAATATAAGAGAGTATTAGACAAACGGCAGCCAAAGTGCGTGGGTCGGCCGCAAGAAATCGTAACGCAAAAAAAAAAGAAAAGTGCAAGCGGTGTAAAAGAAATAAATAAATAAAAAAGAAACAAAAAATCTCAAAGTAAACGGGAAAAAAGTCAAATCGAAGTTAATGGGCTGAAAAAAAAAGGAAAAAAGTGTTCAAGTGAAAAGTTGATGTGTTTGCAAATGCATTTAAAGAGAACGAAAAGTGTGACGTAAGCATTAAATGAACGTTAGCAATTGCGTTTGTATGCTTGTGTGTGCACGCAAAACAATTTGCGAATTGGCATATGTAATAAAAGCATTTGTGTAAAACTGAATAAAAAAAAAATATTAAAAGGTACAGGACAAAACTAAATTGTTAACAAAATTGTACTCAGGAACGAAAGAAAAAAAAGGAAATAATAATAAAGAAAGCGACCACGCATACACTGAACAATTCAAAAAAAAAAAAAACAAAGAGATCGGCAAAGACAAATCAATGCCAAAGGTAACTAACAAAATTTTTTTTAAAAAGGTAAAACGAAGGGCAAACCAAGGTTAAAAAAAACTACCAAAAAAAAAAAAAAAAAAACAAAAGGTTATCGTGAGGAAGAAGAATATGCATTAAAATCTCACAGTCAAACGTGCATTAGCAAATAAATACCAGGATCAGTAAAATATATATCAACGAGGGAATCAGTGGCATGATTTTACATTTGCAAGTGAAAGGAACAAAAAAAAAACCAAGAAAAACAAACCTTTTGCAACAGAACTAAGAGAAAGACGTTTAAGGTTCGAGCAAAAGAGTAATTTTTTTGTAAACACAACGAAAGAACGATGTAAGAGGGAAAGGGAAAGGAAAGCTACAAATACATCATTCGGCAAGATCACATTAAACTGTGTTAAGCGAAACAAATTCATCCATGTGCGTGCCCTACGTTATAATCAACCACCACCAGCTAAACAATTTTGCGAAAACATAAAGAGGAACCAAGCATTTAAAGACGCGACTTAAGCATAGCGTTCAGTAGCTCTTTTACGTGGCAATAAATTGGCGAATTGTTCAGCTAAACGTCATAAGAAGCCAAGAGCGATTCCGCAAAGTGGTGCGGGTGATACCGATTGTGAAAGAAAATGAAAGACACCTACCTTACCAGCAACAGATATGCAAGGAGGAGGCCGGAAATATCGAGCGGGAAAAAAAAAAATTTAATTTATAACAATAACAGAAACAAGTCTTAACGTTCTATTTATTTCAGGTGCCAAGGTCAATAGCAGCAACACCCTCATTAACTCCATCATCATTCTGTTCACCAACAACAGCCGCAACAGCAACGGCAGGTACAATTGCAGGTAGGTCCGGTGCACGTAAGTCACCCGACAACTGCCAACCGACCGTCAACGCAGTCCCACTCCACCCACAGCAACAACTCCAAAAACGTTATCAAGTATCAGAGCAACAGCACATACAACAACAATAATCTCACCAAACACACACAAATCAATGCATTAGTTTTGCTTGTTTTGTAATGTAGGTACATTTTTTTTATACAATGTGTTAGTTTTAATTAGCAAGTTTTCAAAGCTATGTCGAATATAAGTATGCTTACTTGTATATCTTCCTCTACTTTCGTTTTAGAATTTGCTGACCCAGTTTAAAATGTTATATATTTAAAGTATATTTTAGGACGTTTTAACACAATATATTTTATGCATGAACGGAGAGAGCCATGATAAATAATTCCAATTTTTCTTAAAAATTTATTGCATGTTCTTACACTAAGTGTAATAAATAGATATAATAATTGATTTAACCAGTTAAATTCAATTAGTATTGAAGTTACGCAAAGTTAAGTGTTACGTACGAACAATCGTCAGATATATTAGAAGTTTGTACATTTTGCTTCAATAGTTTGGCCGTCTAGGCCAAACAATATCTATAATACTTAGTATAAGATTTATTTATAAGAATCAATTAAATTCGGCTAATAATTGATTCTAGTTGAATTTGATGTGTAAAAGAGGAAATGAATAAATAAAAATAAGTTCATTATTATTTGCTTTAAATTTTTATTTTTTATGCACAGTACGCGGTACAAAATGTACATTAAATGCGATCGCTGCGTTATTGCGTCTTAACTGATTGCCCACCAGGTTTCAATTTAAATTTTTTTTGCTATATGAATGTGAGAAACGTTTTCTCATATTTGTCAAATCAGGCGTAAGAAAAATAGTTAAGGCGTGTTGGTTTTTCAGAGTTATTGCTGGTTTCTTAGAGTTGCATTTATAAGATAAAACAGCTCTAAACTGAAAATAAAATAAATTTCAAGCAAAATTGTTTACTTAGAAACAGCTGAACCAACACAATATTTTTAAATTGATGAAAAGTACAGAAATGAAATTTTTTCTCTTTTGCCTTTTACTCGAATTGTTAACGCTTAATTCGCCAAAGCTTATAATGAATTCTGTAAAGCTTGGTTAAATATTGCTATTAAATAATCAAGTAAAGTTGAGAGCTATATCTAGTCGCTTGGTTCTATGCTCACATTACATTATTTGAGGAACATGGAGTTTGTCGGAAAAGAAATCTTGTAAGACGTGGAGGAGCTTCGCGGGGCGCTTCAAATACTTTTACACCATTTGACAATATGTCAGTAAATGATTTTATATAATCGTAATATTCGTAACAGCGTAAACTTATCTACGAATATCGTTCCACACACAGTTTGCAAAAGTTTTTCGTGTCAAAAGAGAGTTTTTAATACATTTTAGGAAACATTGATGCCAGTAACTCCTTGCTGCACTTTTCATGGTCTCGTGACGCGTTATGGTCCAAACGACGATGTTTGAAATATTCGTAACATTTATCAAAGTGATTGGATGGCTACACGGAACGCGCATTTATTTTCGTAAGCCCGCCCAAACTGAAGAAAGCTTCATAAATCGAAATTGCCTGTATGGGATGGTGGTGAGTTAATCTGCATATTCGTTTATGCTTCTCCGTATATAGTTTAAACGAAACATGAAAGCAGACTCAACTTTATTTCAAAGAAGCAGCCTCAGCACACCTCAGCTCTTGTAACTAAGAGGTACTCGATAAAAAATCACGACCAGGCAAAATAATAACAAAGTTCGTTTGCGCTGATAACGAAAGTAAACTACATTGATGACTAAAAAGTACAATTGCCTTAAAGTAATTAGGAATTATTCTAAAAGTATCATATAAATATATTTTAATGTATAGTTGCAACAATAGGGTTTTGCTGAATGCGCAGAATATAACAATTCAAGATTATGTCACAAAAAATGTTATTTAAACATATAAAAGAAAAAATTAAAAAGACGACACATTTGAGTGGACTAAATTGCGCCCTGCTCCTAATGACTATGTTCAGTAATTAAAATAACTACCTAAACGAACAAACACATAAAAACGTATAATATAAAGTATATTGATGTTTATAGTTGTATGAATATTAGCAAATTGGAATCAAAGATATAAAATCAAAGTTTAATAAAATATATATTAAATCTAAATATACTGCTCCCCGTTGACCGTAGGTCAACAAAATTGATAAATATCTGTGGTAATGTTCCGTCGGGGAGACGGTATAGGCGTTGATTCATTGGTAGGTCATGGTTACCCTGGTCGGATAGATGATTACTTTACGTGACAACCGTTTAAGCAGCTACATTCTATTTACAGAAAAACCTGGTGAGCAGGAATGTGATCATAACGGCTAGACTGATAATCGATGCTGAATATGAGGCAGTTATACTATGGACTGGTGCAACATCATTCTGAGTTTTGGGACCTCGGGCTGCTTGGATGTTAAGCTGTAGGGATGATAAATTGTTGACTTCAACTGGATATTGGTTAGACGTTGTTGAATAACTGCCAACCTTAATAACTTCATATTTCACAAAACTCTTGATTTGTCAAGTTTGTAAATTCTCTAAGACTTGTGTATGGGGTTGACAATGCCGTTGAGACGAGATGATGACTGGTCATATGAATGTATTTGTGAATTATGATGAGAATGCAGTCTCGATTAACGGTTAGCACCTTTTGACACACAGCTGTTGTGCAGAGGAGATTGTGGGTTAATTCCATTGATTATTGTGTGTAGAGGGCATTTGTTGTTATTTCAATTGTTCATTTCGCAATTTGGTACTGTTTCGTTGTTGAACAACTTGATTTCACAGGAACAAACATTAAATTTATTTTTGAAAAATCTACGTGGAGATTATCCATTTTTCAGTGGCGATGGGTGGCGTACTTTAATGTAAGAGAATAGCTAGCGAAGAATAATTGTTTTTAGTAATAAAATTTCTAATATTAAAAATGAAAGCAAATACGTGCACTTTTGTTCGTTTTTTATTTGGCTCCTCGGCTTCGTAATCTGTCACATGAGGATTTCTATGCATACATGAAAAATAATTACAAAATGAACCAAAAATTTTACATTACAGTTTTAGTCACGACGGTTTTGCTATTGATCGCATCACATGTAAATTGATTGCATTTGTTTGTGAACAAAAAAACGTCAAATTTGCGCCCTATTTTCCTTTTATTTTATCGAAGTAAATTTCGAATGATCCGTCTGAGTAGCCGAAGGTGAGGAATCTTGACTAGCAAGTCAATGGTCGTGGGTTCGAATCTCAAGTGGGGTAGAGTTTTTAATAAAAGCCGATAGCCTTAGATGCTAATGCTTTTAAGAGTTTAGTCTTAGAATTTATTTCTCTGGCGAAATTAATAATAATAATAATAATAAATTTCGAATGACGAAAGTCATACATAATTCATAATCAAACGATTTAAGATACGATTAAGATATAAATGAGGGTTAGTTAAGTAAAAGATGCATAATCTTCATTCACTCTTTTTTTTATTTGGCCAATCTTACTCCAAAAGAATCAACACTTTTATCCTTTTAATTTTATTATTAATTGTGGCGGTGCACTGTTGACGATCTCTTTAATTAGTCTAGAGATCAACTTAGTTTGTTTCTCAAATATTTAATCGATGAACTTTAATAACGAATCATATCGAGCGCGTTTGGTTATTTTATAAGAGAGATAGACTGCTACTGTCGGTTCGCGACTACGCTTCGGTGTATTTCCACTATTTGGTATATTGCAGACTTTACTTTTCTTTATGTGTTGTTCACCACTCTTAATAATTAAATATTTCATCATAGTATATTATTAACAATAGGCCGGAAGGTAATCAGGTATCTAAAAGTTAACTTTTGGTTGCGACTAAACCGGTAGTTGATAAAAGTTTTTGCCCCAGTCACGTAAGACTTTAGAGAAAACATAACAGCGGTCTCTCTTTTTTCAAATATTTCTTTCAATTGTAAAATACATAATGGAATAAAAATAATAAAAAATTGGTGTTGAAATATATATTTCTAATTTGTTCTCCCAAGTGAAACATGCAAATATTAAAATATTGTCAGAAATGATTATTAATATCACAATCAATGATAAGCAATTGTTCGCTTGTGCTGCAAACGTTCATATAGTATGGTTTTCACTTTACTGAAAAAAACAACCTTGTTTGTGTGATTCTATAACTTTGGGAGAGATGAACTTTAATTAAATGCTGATATTCATTCGCATTTCATTCACACTTTATACAACACGTCATCTCAGCAAACGGCAGTTGGATAATTTTTGTGTTTTACCGGTGTTAGTAAAAAAAAAAGAAAAGAGAATTTAAATATTTGAAAAAAGCAAAAGAGATTTAATAAGGTAATAAAATAACCAAAGAAAACAATTTGAAGGAAGAAAAGGAGGGAAGGAAGAGGAATCTCTTGTGAGAGAAAAATTAATAAGCAATATATATATTAAATTTTTTGTTTTTTCGTTGTGATTTTTTTTTTTTTTTTTGGTATTCCCCCTGATAACAACCAAAACAACATCAGCCCGTCTCCCTATGGAGACTGGGTCTGATCTTATAACTACTGATAGAGATTGTTTTGAAGATTTTTACATGCATGCCACTGGGCGTACCAAGAGATCGAGGATGGGTGAGAATAACCTTCTTTCATCTTCCAATGAAGAGGATAATGCAAATGTTTCAATTAGGCCTAGTAAAGCGGCAGTCGACAAGCCCTCTGGTTTGGGTGCCACGGCCGCCGCAAATCTCGACATCAATTTGTACGCTTGCCTTTCGAAATGCAATTTCGTCGTTATTGTCGAAAAGGTGCGCAGACGCAGAAGGAAATCGCATCAATATTAACTCCGATCTCTATTTTTATGATTACTAAAAAGATTTCAACATGTACTGCTTACAAAAATTAAAAGTCGTCAGCAGGGGCAAAGAAAAACTGCTTTTCAGCTCTGCTGCCAACACCAAGAATTTTGTTATGAATAATGAATTAACTAAAAAGAATTTAAAGGCGTACATACCGAGGTCTTTCACTGAGAAATTTGGATTTATTCGAAACATCCCATGCACATATAGTGTCGATGA